TTAAATCTTATAAGGAACATTCAACGGAACGTTTATATCTTATAAGGAACATTCAACGGAACGTTTATATCTTATAAGGAACATTCAACGGAACGTTTATATCTTATAAAGAACATTCAACGTGACGTTTAAATTTTATAAGGAACATTCAACGGAACGTATATATCTTATAAAGAATATTCAACGGAACGTTTATATCTTATAAAGAACATTCAACGTGACGTTTAAATTTTATAAGGAACATTCAACGGAACGTTTATATCTTATAAGGAACATTCAATGGAACGTTTATATCTTATAAGGAACATTCAACGGAACGTTTATATCTTATAAAGAACATTCAACGGAACGTTTATATCTTATAAGGAACATTCAACGGAACGTTTATATCTTATATGGAACATTCAACGGAACGTTTATGTCTTATAAGAAACATTCAACGGAACGTTTATATCTTATAAGGAACATTCAACGGAACGTTTATATCTTATATGGAACATTCAACGGGACGTTTATATCTTATAAGGAACGTTCAACGGGATGATTGTTTCTATTAACAAAATCTAACACCACTTTTGTCGCATATTAAGCTTGTTTGAAACAATTTAAAATAAGTTAAATATAAATCAAACATTAGAACGGTCACTTTTCCACTGTTCTTCTATTGGGAGTGAAGGAATGTTCCTTATTGAATACGGAGGAAGGGGAGGGGGGGTAGGAAACATGCACGACTGATAATTATTCGGCCTCCCAGAAATCTATGAATACATACGTCGTCGTCAATTAACGGGGTGGAGTCAACAAAATAAGATCCTACTAATTTTTTTTCTGTTTTGTATAAACACACACGCACACACCCTACCCGGGTAATTTGCCAGAGTTTCTGACACTATCTGGGCTGGAACGTAACGAGTGAAGGTGACATGCAGGTTTCTGTTACAGAAACAACCAATCAATTTCGATAAGGTACGCTGCTACTGGTTGTAGGTTGTAACCAGGAGAAGCAACGCCACCACGAATTTTAACTAGGTTAGCAGAGTAGCATGTGAAACAAGATCCATACACAACGTTACTGTTTCACTCTTCTGGTTTAAGGCTGAGAGTTAATGTATCATGTATTTTTTTTTTAAACCTGGCCGTCTATAGCTACTTCTTATGCATTTAAATATGTAAGATACATTATTTACTAGCTATGGTATTTATTTTGTAGACGATGTGCGTGTTTGTCATTCGTCTCCTGAATAAGGGCAAAGATACCCGTGCTACACGAGTCTTTTAAACATCGGCTTTATTTGGTTTCATCTCCAAGTCATATCTAAAAATTGAAATGGCTGCCAGTTTTTGGTTCGTTTCAGATAATCGCACAATGCTGCACAAGAGTCATCTGCCGTCCATAATTTTAAGCTAATAAACGAGAGGGATGAGAGCTAGTCAACAGTGGCCATCGTCAACTCTTGGGGTCCTTTAATCGGATATTAAGATCTGACCGTCATTCTGTTGATGCAACCACGATCCCAAAGAGCCGACTGGCACGCGAGCCACGCTCCAACCGAAATGGCTACCAAATTCGAACTGTTTATCCGATTGTTTATTCAGTTAAATTAGTCTTTGGAAGGATTCACCTGACTTCCTCTGTCAAATTGTACTAGAATTAGTTCAGCCATATTCTCACAAGAAGGGCGCGCGTGATGGCCTTGTGGTAGATCTCTGGATTTCGGAACCAGAAAGCCGGGTTCGAATCAGTGCCATATCACAAAATGCTCCCAGCACATTAATCTGTGGGTGGGTTTTAAGAATAGCAGTCAATCTTTTAGTGAAGACAGTGAGTTGAAGAATCCTGCTGACTGGCTACCTTCCCTCTGGTTACTAGTTCAAATTTAAAGAGCCTGGCATAGCCAGGTGGTTAGGGAGCTCAACTCGCAATCTAAGGGTCGCGGGTTCGAATCCCCATCCCACCAAACATGCTCGCCCTTTCAGCCGTAGAAGCGTTATAATGTTACCGTCAGTTCCACTACTCGTTGGTAAAAGAGTAGCCTAAGAGTTGGCGGTGGGTGGTGATGATCTAGTTTTTCACTGCTAAATTAGGGACGACTAGCGCAAATAGCCATCGTGTAGATTTGTACGAAATCCAAACAGAGACGATTTAGAGACGGTAGCTTTAGTAACTCTGCCATAAATATAAAACTCCTCAGAACAGCTTCTGACATCAATACACCAGGCAGATAGATAGGAACACTAACGTTATTAAATTAACACTGGAATTAAGCCTTTTTTCAAAATTATTATTAAAATAAAGTTTTTTTTTCTCGTAGTTGTTAGTAGATGGCGCCTGAGTAAGGTCCATTACTCGACCAGAAAGACAATAAATTAGGTTTATCCATTCATGATTACACTACCCAGCACCATTAAAAGCATGAACTATCACTGAATTTTATTATAATAATCATTACTTCATTTGATACTCATCCAGAAATTTTGTCTTTCCCTCTCTGTTTAGTGCCTTTTGTGCCTACTACTATGCCATTTTTTTTTCAATGTTGTGTACAAAAGAGGCTTAATAGCTACGTTTAGACCGAGTTTCTGAGGCTTTAGTTCTCCCACCCCACGCAACCAGCTGATGTTTGTTTGTTTGTTGTTAAGCGCAAAACTACACAATGGGTTATCTTTGCTCTGCCCAACTCGGGTATCGAACTCTGAGTTAGAAGGCATCAGAAATACTATTATTCCTAGAGGATGTAAAACTAACTTTCAAAAACACTTTTCAACAAATAGTAGCATATGTATACCGACTGAAGAATTAATACCTCAAACCATGTCAGGTTTTTCACCACACTTCGTAAGAGCCGTCAAACAACCTGATTCTTAACAGCTAATAAGTGGTAACAAATGCTGGTAGTTGAATGGGTTGGGCGTGGCCTAATTATTATCGTGTCCGAGCTGTGAATCAGAGTATCCGTGTTTCGCAACTCGTTGTCGCACTAACGCGCTACGCGTTTTTGACGTCATGAGTGCTCTATGAGAGTAGCAGTCAAATCTTACTATTTGATCATATAAGAACCAACCAAGACTGAGCGACGTCTACTGTTGGCTACCGGTTCACATTTAGGCACAGTTTAACAGCATGACATTTATCATAGTTTAAATGTTCCAGGTATGCATGATAATTGCGTTAGATACGTTACCTTTGTCTTTCTGCAAGCGCTTGTGGTGCATATTAAATAAATATATTCCTAAACACTTTTCTTGCTAATTTGATTACACGTTTTATAAATCCAGATCAAAATCGTTCAAGCATTGCAAGTACGAATTACTCACTCAGAAACAGCCATAATATGAATTACCCACTCAGAAACAGCCATAATATGAATTACCCACTCAGAAACAGCCATAATATGAATTACCCACTTAGAAACAACCATAATATGAATTACCCACTTAGAAACAGCCATATTTGAATTACTCACTCAGAAACAGCCATAATATGAATTACCCACTTAGAAACAACCATAATATGAATTACCCACTCAGAAACAGCCATATTTGAATTACCCACTCAGAAACAGCCATATTTGAATTACTCACTTAGAAACAAACATATTTGAATTACCCACTCAGAAACAGCCATAATATGAATCACTCACTCAGGAACAACCATAATATGAATTACCCGACTTAGAAACAACCATAATAT